ACTAAATCTCTGTACTGCAAACTGTAAGTCAGTTCCAATAAAATGTCTTCCGTTATAAGAGAGTTGTGGTCATGGTGTCTCTTCACAGCAATAGAAACCCTAACTAAGACAATGCCATTTATATTTAGGATATCTTTATCTTCCTCAATGTATACCTAGGTGGAATGTCTTAAGAAATGCCAGCAAATGGCTTCTGGTTTGCCTGGTGGGGGAGAAATGAGTTTCCCTAAACTGTATTTATACTATACACTCAGATACCAATCAAAATATCAAGGCATTAATGTAGAAAAATTACTGAAGATGGTTCTTAATTGAAATGTACTTTTCTTCAGTTGTTCTTTTCCTGCATGAACAAACACAACTGGGAAGGTGTTTGGGGATGCTTGTTCTGTCCTGTGCCCCCTGCTGGGTTAGCCACCCACAGACTAAAGGACGTTTGCTTGCATTTGAGTTGCTTCTGCAGATGATGACGGCACACCGGATTGCTGCCCTGTCTCCCAGCTACCCCTGCTCAGGGGCGCATGCCTGTTTCGAGGAAATGAGCTCTCTAGAGAGAGGTTTACTGATCCTTTCTGGCTAAGTAGCAGCTAGAGAATTTGTTTAGGCAGAAAGCTGTATCACAACATTCCTCCATTAGTAAGAATGTAAAGCAAACGCACAGGGAGTGAAATGGGCTGTTTATGATCAACCAGAGATCAAAGGATGGAGTCCATCTGATGCTCAAGTTAGGCTTGAAGCTCTTTGGTTTCTGCATGTGATGTCCAACAATAACCACCATTTTTGACTTTACAGTTGCTGCACTTCATAAAGGAACTATCCCCTTTGTTCCAAAGTTACATAGCCTCTGTACCATAGCACAACCACAAGACTCCTAGCCCTGTTCCTCTCCTTGAAACATCAGCATACAGCTATCAGTGGATAGGCGCCTATGCCTATCAATGGAAGGAGCCTGTGGCTGTCAGTGGACAGGGGCCTATGGCTGTCAGTGGACAGGGGCCTATGGCTGTCAGTGGACAGGGGCCTGTGACTGTCAGTAGACAGGGGCCTGTGTCAGTGGACAGGGGCCTATGGCTGTCAGTGGAC